TTAGTATTACTGTCCCGATTTACCCTTTGGCCACGAACCCTTAAAAATAGTTTATAATCAAAGTAAAACGCGATAAAATGTTAAAATAGCTTAATTTAACCATTTACGTTTTTATTTTAATTTGTTTCTGCAGTCAGTAATAGTTAACAATACTTAATTATTACAATGATAGAATCTTGAAATGTCTGCCAGCCAAAACATGTTTTCGACGCTACGTTAACGGAAATCATATTTCATATGGACATGAAAACATTTTTTGATGTTTACCACGTGACACGTCATTAACGTTTCTCGCTACATTTAAGCGGTTATTGCGTGAAGTTTCCCATACCGAAAGTAATGGCAAATTGCGAGATATTTTACATGAGATGACATTTACTTCGCCTTACTATGGCCAAAAGGGGAATGGAATGTTTCTCGGAATATGCTCTGACGTAAAAAAAATGTTAGGCAAAAGCCTCCCCTATACAGAGGGTATCAGGGCATAGTGCACGTTGCCCCACTGCGGATTAGCGGACTTAACAGTCCTCGAAATATTTTTTTTTGTTATCATTTCGATAATATGCAAGTTTCCTCACGATGTAGGTTTTACGGTGGTAGGGCCATGCAGCAGCCTCGTCTGTTGCACGAATGGGCAGGCTCGTCCGGGTAAGTACCACGACATCTCAGAAGACCAGCGTAAAGTGTAAGTCTGACAAAAACTTTCGCGTTTCGTCTAGTGAGTGAGGCAGCCGGAGCCCAATTTTCAAAAGGTTGTCAACGCATCTGTAACCCTCGGGTGTAGCAGATGTCCATAGCGGTATTCACTTAACATCAGGTGAACCGTCTGCTCGTTTGGCAACTTTTCACATAAAAAAATGTTTTTCTCGACCGCGGAGCACGTGATAAATCAGCACTTAAAATTAACAATTTCATTGGTGACTTAAAATTAACAATTTCATTGGTGCCGGCACCGGGGATCGAACTCATGTTGCTCGAGTATATTGAACTTAAGGCGAGTGGCCGGACAATGAGCTATCACGGCTCTTCCTGTTACGTTATGATTGTCGGTTCAATGGATGCAACTGTTCCAAGCTAAATTTTCGTCGCGATTCACTTTGTCACATTAAACAGAACTCTTTCCTTAGGAACACGTAATATGAGACTTATGGTAACAGCATAACGAATGAGTCACCCCTAAATGGAATGTCTTCGCGCCATTCCGTTTATATATGGCCGTGTTCAATTTGAACCTGACGTTCTGACTTAATTGTCGCCAAAATAACGTTTTAGATAAACGTCCAAGTAAATTTTATGTGGCTATTTGTACATGTGAATATGATTTTTGCACCTTAAAAACCAATAATCTAATACAACAATGCATGTCACTAGGATTCAGGCTTAACACCCGGAGTTAACGCCGATTAAACAGCCATTAAAGTTTCAACACGTCAACTTATTCGCACAACGCCAATAATCAAAACTAGTCCAACATAAATTAACACCGGACAGGAATATTATGCGGAAAATTAACATTTTTAGCGCTTCATAAATCGGTGGCTAATTTGCAAAGTTGCCAGCGTATTGGCAACCGACACGGCTCTGAGGGTTGTTATCCGAGTTTTACGAAGTGTCTTTATCCCTAACATTAAAAGTTGCTTGACTCGTGAAATTTACAGCCCATAACATTCACGCACTGTTTAGATATAAATGAATATGACGGCCAGGCATACTAAAAACTATTTAACACATTAGATACTAATTGTTAAGTTATGATAAAATGAATTCATTAAAATGGCCTCATTTAAAATGTACGTAATTCACGTAAACACAAGATATGAAGATTTAATAGAGTATAAATAGCACTATATATCGGCACTATACTTCGGCAATTATTATTCACGGTACCTTTTTAAAAGTTTATTTTAATGATTTTAAAAAATGTTAAAAGAATTAAATGAAAATTTATTATGACACGTTAGCTTAAAAACTTGCAAAATAGACTAAATAATAAGATATCATGAGATAAACTTGTATTAATTTATTTGTAAAACTGATGAAATTATTTGAAGATAGCTCGAAAAAAGCCAAGCCATAACGTCTTATAATGCGGCTGTTCGTACGTATAAAAAGGTTTAAATTAGGTATAAATCACTTAGAACTAGAAGATATTTCACGAGAAAATAAACCAATTACACTTTTAAATTACAGAACTTTGTTCATTTCACGCTGCACTTTTGTGTCGCATATTTAATTTAGACGTGCACGGTTCCACTTTGAAAACAATAAAATTTTCTCGTCGCATTGACAAAGTTGCAACATGCAAACAATGCGACTCGCAAAGCTTATTGCAATGGACATCGTATGTGAATAAATCATGATAACGGCAAACATTTAAGGCTGAATTAAAATTTTGATTTATTACCTGCACTGGTAGACTTACGCCCGGTTTCTGGAACGATGATCAAAGGTTTTATTAACTAACATATGTGTCAAATTAACAGAGCTGTCAAATCAATCCGAGTTTCTGGAACGTTATTCAAAGTATTGGTGATCATTTTGTTTTGACAAAAAGTTTAGTTCTACCAGATTTGCAGTATATCTGTAGACATACCGGAGGGTGGTGACGTCTACTGTATTGATACAGTAGAGGTTAGATTTAAAGATTTTAGGACTAATAAGGCTTCTTAGGACCAACCAATCAACGTTTCATACATACTACATTTACTTATGACACCCAAGAAAGCTATTAATTTCCTTACGCATCACGCGTCTGAATTAAAGCACACAAAAGGTCAATACAGCAGGTCAATACCGTCTAACCGAGCTTGAGCTTTGTTTCAGATCGATTTTCTTTTTATGTGAAAAGTTGCCAAGCGAGCACGCGGTTCACCTGATGTTAAGTGAATACCACCGCCCTTGGACATCTGCTACACCCGAGGGTTGCAGATGCGTTGGATAAATAACCTTTTGAAAATTGGGCTCCGGCCACCTCACTCCCCAGACGAAACGATAAGTATTATACTTCCACTCTACACCGGTCTTCTGTGAGGTCGTGGTACTTACCCGGACGAGCCTTCCGATTCGTGCAACAGCCGAGGCTGCTGCGTGACTCTACCACCGTTAAACGATACGAACACGTTTTAAAACGTAAGTAAGTATTAAGTTTAAAATGGGGCATCTAAATACCAGACTAACTAAAATGTACGTTAAATTGTATTATATTTTGTGAGAGAAATGCACAAAAACAACGCTGCGGAATTCAAACCCGCGTCTTCTGGTTTCGCCCAGACGCTTTACCAACGAAGATAAGCGGCCGATGACCTCACGGCTCGCAAATCTTGACCACTATGTTCGTTATTCTTTCAGCGGAGTCTTAGTAATAGGAACCGTTTTACCGTTTGGGTACGGAACCCTAAAAAGTACTCAACACTTCAGAAAACTTTCTATATTAACGCAAAGGCTGTCCAAGTCGCAGTACATTCCGCGTTGTATTGTCCCAAACTTGGTCAATCCAGTGAAAGTATTAGCTCGAAGTTTGCAGTTCTAACACCACGTGCGTCAAATGGTGAGGCTTGGGCAAACAAAGTCACACAAAATGTACCAAGAACATAGACAACGTGTGCGAAATCGGAGAGTGTTATGTATTGTATTTACTAAATAAAGGTTGGATATTTTTGGGTGGTACGTTTAGAATGAAAACTTAACCTCGACAATGGAGGAATAGTGTGAGGGCTGACCATATTTATGGAAACAAGTAGATTTGTCGACGTAATACTCAATTAGGGATTATAGTTTTACACATTTACATTACGTACATACCATATATGTATATAAATATATACAAATCCATATATATAAATTTAGGCAATATCTCATTTATATCTGAGTTTTTTTCATTTGCTTTACTGACAAAGGGCACATTACTCGTATCCCTAGAATATAGATATTCTAATTTCCTTGAGAATTTCCGCCAGATATATCCGATATATAGTAAATTTTAGTTTCATCCCGTGGAGTTCGCGATATAACAGCGCCACACAAAACGCTGCTGAACCTTTCGAATAGTAAAAAAGATTAAATATGATGCAAATTTTATTAAACCCTCGAATATAACCTTAGTATGTGCGTAGATTCGGGGGCGAAAAATCGATCTAGCTAGGTTCCATTATTAGAAAACGTCTTTTTATCCCTGTTTTCAGGGAATGAAAAAATATTATTCGAATATGACAGTAAATTTCGCCGCAAAAAAATGTTATAATAGCTCGGTCGGTAATCGGGCGGCCCCAAAACTGACGGCCGCGGTTCGTATCACGATCATTTACACACTTATTTTTTTACTTTTTTTCTATAGCAGATCATTTTCTTTATTTTTTATATTTTTTTTCCATAATACATGATTTACCAAAAAAAACCGAGGAAAGCTTGGTCTTCCAGTTACTAATTATAATACGCCCAGTGTGACTAAGAATCATTAATTACTCTGCGATTTAGTTTGAGCAATAGTTCTACTCTGAATTTTGTTTAAGATTTTTTCCTTTCGGTGACAACAGATGTTCCCTTTCCTTGTGCCTCTGCTATATTGAAATATCTATCAATGTCATCGCAATTAATTATTGACTTGGTTGCAAGTACGCTTAGTGATAAATAACGAAGTAACGATTTACCCTTTGAAAAGATATTTTAAACATGAAAGTGAATGATTCTAAGATGCCAAGATCATTAACCATAACCTCAGGGACAATTCTCACATCGGATACTTTATTTTTAAGACCAACCGTTCTCCGTATTTAAATTTAATTATGTCTATGATAGACGGAATTCTTTCAACAGCTAATGTTGTTTTGTATCATCTTTCTTCTTTAATTTTGTGTTAAAGAAGCTTCTTCTTTAACGTTTTTTAAAAAAACTATAGAATATAATGTGTTAAACTGAAATCTTTGTTCACAGACCACGCATCAGCTCTGGTGGGAAATACGGCGCGCCTACGCTGCCGTATAGATGGCAAATCGTGCGGCGAAATGCACAGCATAAAGTGGTATAAGGCTGACTCCAGGGTTTACGTGTACTCCGCGTCCAAGGACGCTGCCATTAATAGGCCGGAAGGTGATATGATGGACAGGTACGTAGTATGAGGTGTATTATAAACATAGCACATAACACTTTTCTGGAAAGAATTTTAAACAAGTTTATTTCAATGTTCAATATCTTTATATTTCTCCTCAAATGATTTAAGTACATTTTAAACTTTTCCATTTGTGGAAAACACCTAAGAGAAGTCATCATAACACTTTATTAAACGACAATTTCGATACATATAATGATCACGAATAAACGACCATTTCCGAAACAAATATTTGCAGTTCATACGGACCTGTTTTTATAACGATAATTTTATTTAAGCGTCGTCGTAACCAATAATTTTAATAAATTCGCTAAACGAGCGTTATTACTACGACCAAAAGAAAAATATAAAAAACCTTAGGACACTTAATGAAATAAATCATTGCGCATGCAAATCGTGCACGCTGATAAAAAACATTTTCCTCCGTCAAATATCAAAAAATATTCGATCAAGTATTAAATAAATGGTAAAGCATCACACGGACTAGAAGAAAGAAAGAACGAAGGAAAGAAACATTTATTTGGCACATAATAACAAAATACAATAGATTCTAAAAACTAAATACCTATAATTAAAATGAACCAAAATGGTCACCACTCGGCTACATATCACGAAGTTGACAACCTTCGTGAATGCTGGTTTTCAGTGGAACCTTGGTGGAAAAAGATAGGTAGCCCTACGCAATAATTTTTAAAGAATTTATATAGGATACAATAAAATTTACAAAACAGAACAAGAATATTTAACTAAAAATAAGAAACGCTACACATAAAGGATAAAATTAATTCAAAACAAATTGCTTATTTTACCTGCCCTGTGTGATAAAAGAGAAGATTTTGTTAAGAACGTTAATGGAAGGAATATCACACTTCCTATTCAAAAATTATACACCTTGTTAGTGTAATGCCACTGAATGTCATTCCGTCTAGACAGCACATTTATTCCACAGTTAGAGTCGAACGGAATGCATTTAGCTTGTGGCAAATTAAACCCTATCGCATTGACTTACGACTTAGATAACAGCACACCGTGTATGTTTCTCTGACATTCGTCCTACAACTAATGGAATATACAATGAGATCGAAACATAAGCACCAATCACGTGTGCAATTGCTATTCGGTATCTATCTGTATTAATTTGAAAATGGGGTTCTACTGTGAGCGCCCAACGTCGAATTGTATAACAAACTACACTGAACTTTCAATTTTAAGAATAAACCCCCTCTATCCGCTTGAAATTACCGGTTCTCGATACGATTAATTGGAAACTGACTTTTGTTCGAGCTTAAATGCGACTACGGAACTTGTTCAAAATAGCCGTAGAACGGACGAGATAAATACGAATGAAAATATACTACTGGCAATTGTTATTTTCTTGGGGATTCGAAATGAGTACTATCCAATACACCGAGTTATTGTTTCGTGTTTGTTAGATTGAATTAGTATTTGCATAACGATTACGAAATAAAGTTAGTTATTAGTACTACTTTCAACTGTGTTGTAAGGAAATAAAAAACTAAGCAAAGCCTGTTCACCCTTTCCTTATCTCCTAAGCGTTTTCCCTATCTTGCGTCACTCCATATTTTGTTCAATAATTTTTCACCTGGATATTATTTTCATTATCCTTTTATCGTGCCCATCATTGGAACCTAACGGTCTTCTGGGGTACATTAAAATAACTTACATATTAACGGATTTAAAAACTATCGATGATATAGCTCAAGGACATAGAACAATTAATGAACTGATGGCAATTGGAAATATACTTTTTATTAGACACCTTAATTAGTTCCGTGAGATTGGATTCATCGGGGCGGACAATAATGACGGACCTGATAGGATTTATAAACGGCTGGCAATAGAAAATACGACCCGATCGAATATAGATACAATAGATATATGCAGGAAATGTTGCCATTGTTTCTATTGCAACGATCGTGATCTATAGAAGAAGAATGAAAGAATCGTCTGGGTATATTGAAAACTCATATCGCATTTCCAACCTTTTCTGTCTTTAAAGTAAAGTAACAGCCTTTACATATCCCACTGCTGGGCAAAGGCCTCCTCTTTTACACAGGTTATTCTTTCTTTAATTATTATTTTATTACTTCCGTTTCAAATCAAACCGTTTATGTGAGAAGTATGCCATTGTAATGCCATGTAAAAACGATTCCTCTATTTTTATTTTTTTTTTACTTTCACTGGTATAGTTAATAAGTTTTCTCATAACAACTTTTTTAACCGGTGTGTATTATATATCTTTCTAACTCGATAAGATTCCAAGTTACTGTGAAACATTTATGTCAACAGGTAAGGGTTTTTACACCATTTTTAACCGATGCCGATAGTTGTTAGGGTTAAAAGAGATTTTTATACAAGAAAGCGTTCCTACAAACCATATATTTGCTTAATAAACTGTATCCGATATTAAAAAAAATTGTATCCGATAGTTTAATATAGATGCCCCTAAATATATTGCACTCGGTTATGACTCAAAAAGAACTTTTTGCGTTCTAATGTAATATATAAATCAAATAAAAGAAATAGGAGAATACCTTCATAGAAATCTTATTGCCTAATTGTGATTCATCAGATTACTGTCGAGAATCAAAGGCCAAAACATTTCTTCGAACATGTAATGAATGGATCGAAGCTAAAATATTTGTAAGACATCACGGTTAAGGTGGTCACAAAAAAAACAATAAAATATTTTCTCTTATTGCAGTTCTAACTAAAAGACTCTTGTTGTAGTTCTAACTAACAGACAGAAGTTGATTCACTTACTCGCTTACCTTAAATTTGGACAGCAGTTCGCCATCGACCTAACATGAAAAATTTTAATTGCGAGCTATATATACAAGTGAACAGGCTCGTAAGATATCAGACGATAAACACTTCCATTCTTATCGAATGAAATTTCTCCGAAAATTCTTATCGAAGTCTAAATCTTCATCGGGTAAATGGAAATGAACTTCATCGGGTAATGGAAATCAATCAGCAGAATATTCACCCGCGTCCTCGCTGGCGAGGCAATCGACGCATTAAATACAAATATATTGTCACTTACGCCGCGACGTTTCTATTTCGAGTTGCAATAGCGGCACGTCTCTCTATAATTTGCTTGGCTTGAATAAAAAATGCGCTATCGGACGGCCGTATCTAACATCCAGCCGTATAATCCATTTTCAATAAAGAGAAATTTTATTATTGGCTTTAAGTTGACTCGATAATTCCAATAAAGGGGCTGCATATGTTGGAGTCCAACATATCAATTATAAGGGAATTGATTTTAAGTTTTTAATGCAATATACGAAGTAAGAAGAAAAGGCAACTTTGAAAGATGAAAAACATAAGCCATCTTCGTTGTTAGGGTTAAAAGAGATTTTTATACACGAAAGCGTTCCTACAAAGCATATATTTGCTTAATAAACTGTATCCAATAGTTTAATATAGCCATTACCGGGAATTTCACAACTGCTCAAGATGCAAATAGTGGTTATATTTTAACGAACGATTAATTTCCTTACAAATACATCGTTCAAATGAATTTGAAGGAGGAACATAGACTATCCTTCCGACTTCAAATATCTCGCTCTGTATTCATTTTATAATTGATTTTCAGGAGGATTTTGGGCTCCAGTGATAGAAGCCCAAAATCCAAAACCAATTACATTAATATCGGACCGCATGGGAAGCACAAGCTTTCAAATTAAAAAGAATCATCAAAATCGGTTCATTCTATCGAAATTTCTTAGATAACAAACATAAAAAAAAATACAGTAGAACTGAGAACCTCCTCCATTTTTGAACTCGGTTGAAAAGCATAAAGCTTTCGCCTAAGACCAGGAATTGCGTAAATTCATAACTCATTAGAACATTCACATGCAACATGCGGACTGACCAACTGCTGGCAGAACTATACTAAATATTAATCGATTAGCTAGCTCATGTATAATATCGCTACGTAGCCGTAGCCGCTGTCTCGTAGAGGGTGTGGCCTACGTGCTACGCGCTCGTAAGTGTGACTTCAGACGTATTTTGTGTATTTAAGATCTTTTGTAATATTTTTAACGAAATACTTTCACTATTTTTAAAAAAAATTATGCAATAAATTTATGTTACATTACACATAATATATAACCGTAAAATCAACATGACTTGAACGAAAAATTTTTTTTAAATCTTTATTTTTAGAAAGAATTAAGGAAAAAATTTAGGCCATATAAATTTGCGAGATAGTAAGAAGATTAGTAAGTAAAAGCAAAAAGGAAAAGATAGTAACTTTTTTTTATGTGAAAAGTAGCCAAGCGAGCAAACGGTTCACCTGATGTTAAGTGAATACCGCCGCCCATGGACATCCGCTTCACCCGAGAGTTGCAGATGCGTTGACAGCCTTTTGAAAATTGGGGTCCGGCTACCTTACTCACCGGACGACACGCGAAAGTATTTGTCATACTTCCACTTTACGCCAATCTTCTGAGAAGCCGTGGTACTTACCCGGACGAGGCTGCCCATTCGTGCAACAGCCGTGGCAGCTGCCTACCACCGTTTAAACTGTTATAAATTTCAAAGTATATCCACAACTAAGTGCCTCAAAAATAGATTGTCCTCATTACCTCCCCCTTACAGCCCAAGGTCTATAAAGTTATTTTACCCATTGAAACTCGGCCAGCTTGGCGAGACAGCCTAATTAGCGTTAATCGTATTGTTGAAATCGAGTTTAAACTGTTACAGTCAAGGAAGTAGGCCCTAGTTACGGTAAGCATGAAATTAGGTTTCGCGTAGTTTCGCTACGAAGATAACCTGGTTAAATGCGTATTACAGTGCAGTATATAAGAGTTCTAACGTTTTTACCTTGATCCTACTATTTTAACTATTACTGAACTTTAAAATTAACAACTATTTTAACGATAAGCAGCACTAGTGGTTATATCACCGTCCGTAAACGCGGCCGAAATTCAAGTGACCACTGTTTCATGCGACCATGTGTCTCTTGG